GCGACATCTGCGGGGAAGACGGGCCCAGCCGACTGGCAGAGTTCGGCAAGGATTTCAACCACAGCTTGCTGTTCCTCATTCCAAAGGGCCCCCCGGAGCGGTCCGCGCAGGATGAGCTTTAATACGCCGTGGACAAGGTGCGCCCGCTGAACGTAACCAACGTCGACAACCGATTGTTGGCCAACGCGGTGCGGCTGGTGGTCAAGGACGCCGTGGCGGACAGGATGTCCACCTCACAGAGGGGCTTTCTGCCAGGGAGATCGATGCTTTCCAATGTCATGGACGTGGATGAGGGCATGGCAGAGCACTACTTGACCGAGCCCACGTCGGCAGCCATCTTCTTTGATTTCGAGGCGGCCTTCCCGTCCATCGAGCACGGCTTCATGCTTCGCTTGTTTCGCCACTACTGCTGGCCCGAATGGCTCAGGCGTTTCGTCGGCGCACTCTACCAGGACAACTTTTGCGAGGTCGTGATGATGGGGACGCGTTCTTCCGGATTCGAACTGTCTCGAGGAGTTCGGCAGGGGTGCCCGCTGTCTCCGCTGCTTTTTGCCGTCGCGTCGGACTTGCTCTTGCGCCGTCTGCAGCGACTCGCCCCCGCAGCGCTGATCAGGGCCTACGCTGATGACCTGGCCATCGTGGTTGCTCCTGTAGAGAAGCCTTCGGTGCTTCACCGCTTTTTTGACGAGCATGCGAGATTGTCTCGAATGCGTTTCAATTTGAAGAAGTGGGTCATCGTTCCGCTGTTCGCGCACGCCGCGCTGGACCTCCGCGCGGCGGTTGCCGCGCGCGCGCGCCAGCTTGGGGAGCCATGGCAATCAAGGACAAGGCAAAGTATCTCGGCTTCGTTTTGGGCCCTGGGGCAGGCGAGGACTCCTGGCTCGGACCGTTGGCGAAGATGCTGGACAGGGCCACGACGTGGGGGCGCATTTCGCGTCTTCGTTGCTTCAGTTGTCACGCTCGTCGCCCAACTTCGACCGCTGCCAGAGGCCTTCGGCGCTGCCGAAAACCGGGCCTGCTCGAAGCTTTTCCCAGGCCCGAGCTCGTGGACAACCCCTGCATTCATGGCCCAGCTGAAGAACATCGGTTTCCCGTGCGAGCTTAGGTCACCACCCACCAAAACATCCCAACCCAACCCGAAGGCTCAGATTTACCCTCGATTTCCAGGGGGGGGGGTCGGGAAACATCGAAAAAACACATGTGGAACCCTTACCCCCCCAACCCGAATTTCGGGTCTTCGGGTTGGGTTGGGGTGGCCTGGTAGGTAGTCATTAGGGACGTCCGCCGCGCAGAGATTGCCGCGCAGGCCAGGGTCGCGCTCTCCGAGGACATCCGACACCTGTGGCCTGCGGGTGCGAGAACGAGCCCGACGTCTCCGGGAGCCCATGCTCGGCGACGAGAGGGGGACGCTACCGCCCGGAGTGAGCGCATGGCTGGAGTATAACACCGTGTTTGTCTAGCAGGCGGCAGAGGAGCACGTGCACGACGCAGAACGTCGCCACGGGTTTCCTCCGACCCGCGCGGCCTCGACGCCGTACAAGCTCACGGTGAAGGCGTCCTGGCAGGCCACGCGCGTGCGGGCGCTGCTGGCGGATCGCCCCCCGGCCCCGGCCGACGCGCTGATCCGCCGGAAGCTGGACTTCTGGCCCGTGGCGGCTGGGCAGAGGTTGCTGATCCAGCGATCGGGCACACACAAACACACACACACACACACACACACACACACACACACACGAACGCACGCACACGCACACGCACACGCACACGCACACGCACACACACTCACACACTCACACACTCACACACACACACATACACACACACACACACACACACACACGCACACGCACACGCACACGCACACGCATACACACACACACACACACACTTCCCTCCCCCTTCCCCGCTGAGCGACGCTGGCCACGAGCATCGCTGGAAATACCATAGTGTTGCACCCCGACTGTTGCATTGGGGTTTGGAGACGTCGAGCCCTTCCAAGCGGCTCTGGAAGTAGGGCCAAGGCCGTTTTCAACGAGTTCCGATCTGAGGCCGCCGAGGGCCCGGAGACCGCCCCACCCCCGCCTCACCCAGAATGTCGAACGACTCGCCCGTGATGCGGCGGCGCGGAGGCACAATCGACGCGAAAGTGACCGGGGGCATCGGGGAGGATTACGGGCAGCCCTGCCTCCCCCACGGATTACGGGCAGCCCTGTCTCCCCCACCCGTTGCCCGAAGTCATTCCGTCGCCCGCCGCTCCTCGGAAGGCAGATCTCGACGGACGAGAGGGGCAGAAGACGGGGAGGAGCGGAGAGGGATCCGGTTGAAGGAGAGCAGCCCCGGCTCGCTCCTGCAGACTAGTCGCCCAGGGCTGGCGGAGGAACCGCGTCTGAGACGAGATGGCTCGACTACACGTAAGAGAGACCCTTCGCTGGAGTGAACTCTGGTGCGGGCCCGATGGGGTCCCCGATCGCCGAACGCGGTGCGGTAGTAGCGACTTGCGCGCTCGTGTTTGTGCCGCCGCGGCCCCCAAAAAGCTACGCACCAAGGGTCACTCTTGCGTGTAGCCGAAGGACGTGTGGAAGACGTGCGTCGCGCGAACTGGAGAGAAGCAGAGCTGCTCAGCAGGGCAGAGCCCCGCGGGAGGGCGGCAGCCTCCCGGAGGAGAGACGGGGGAGCTCCCAAGAGGGCAGGGGCCTACTTGGAGGTAGTCCTCCCGGCTCCCCAGAGGGCACCATGCCCTCCAAGTCGCACCCCGCCCGCTCAGAAGGCCGCCCTCTCGCGCCCCCTCCTCGTCCTGGCACCGCTCGGACGTGTGCATGCTTTCTCGGCGAGGACCATCGAGGAGCATGAGGAGAAGCAGGAGGAGGAGGAGGAGGAGGAGGAGGGCGGAGGATGAGGAGGAGAGGAAGAGGAAGAGGAGGAGGAGGAGGAGGAGGGAGGAGGAGGGAGAGGAAGAGGAAGAGGAGGAGGAGGAGGAGGAGGAGGAGGAGGAGGAGGAGGAGGATCCTGGATCCTCGAGCCCAGCAAAAGGAGACGCGCACGAGATCGATCGAAAGAGGCACGGGGAACGGCCGCCTCGCGACCCACCTCCCGGTGCGCGCCGCCAGCCCTGGGTGGAGGGTCTGTGTGTGGGTTCTCGGAAGGCTCTAAGAAGAGTAGGAGGGGCCCGCCTGGCGAGGCGCTTCCCGACGCCGCACGCGCCGGAACCCGCGGCCCCGACGTCGGCGGGGCAATCATCGTTGCAGCCCGCCGGCGCTGAGCTGCCCCAGCGCTGGCCGCCTGGAGGCGGGGCCTCGTCGCCAGCTCGCGGCCGCGCGGCCCCCGCCCCGAATGGTAGGAAGAGGGGGAGGAGGACCTTTCGCCGGAGTGACCCTTGGTGCGGGCACAGATGGGCCCCCAGATGGCCGAACACGGAGCAGTGGCAGCTGGCTGCGCGCCCAGATCTGGTCCCCCCGCGGCCCCCCAAGAAAGCCGCGCACCAAAGGTCACTCTTACCCAGGGTCACTCTTGCGTGCAGCCGATTGGGGGGGGAGCCTCGCCCGGCTCTCTCTTTCTATCGACGGGCAGGCGCGCGAGGCGGGCGCCCGGCGCCCCCCCGCTGCGCTGACGACGCCTCCTGGGTGTGCGTTGCCCCTCCCTCTGGTGGGTTTGCCCTCCCCGCCCTCTCTCTCTTGCGTGCGTGCTCTTCTTCTGCCTTTCTTGACCTGTTGCTCTGCTCCTCGCTCTCGTTCTCTCCCTTCTCTCTCTCTCTCTCTCTTTCTTTCTCTCTTGTTGTTGTGTGTTTTTCGAGCACCCCTCGCAAGCCCAGTAGGGATCTCCAGGGGGTCTCCAGAGCTCCAGCGGGGCTCTCCCGCGAGCTCCAGAGCTTCCCAGGATCTCCAAGGGACCTTCAGGGTGTCCCCAGGATCTCCAGCGCGTCCGGCCCAGGGTAGCCTCCAGAGCACCCCTCGCGAGGCCCAGAGGGCTCAAGAATGGCTCGAGAAGCTGGGGACACCTTGGGTCACCCTCCTGGCGTGGCCAGGGTCGGGTGCTGCTAGAGGCGCACCTGGCCCAGGGTGCCCCCAGGATCTCCAGGTGGCATCCGGAGCGCCCCTCACCGTTTTCTCCAGCACGGCAACAAACCCAAGCAAAAGTTGCATGCCTGAAGTCAGTGATTTGTTGTATGTTGTAGAAAGTTATGATTGAAGGTCTATGTTCGCCTGCAGAAGCAAATAGTCATGCCAGGCCCAGAGGGCTCACGAATGGCTCGAGAAGCTAAGGACACCTTGGGCCAGCCTCATCCAGGGGGGGGGGGGGGGCGTACGCACCGATCCTGGTTGCACGTCGCCAGTCGTCCAGGATCGGCCGATGCCGAACGCAGTGTGCTATGCATCGTGTAAGCCTGCATCGCTTTCCACCGCCATCTCCACTTGTGGGGCTCGCGCGGCATCCGCGCGCGATCGGACTTGACCTGACCTGACCGACCGCACTGTGCTATCTATCGGGACGTTTCGTCCACGCGGAGAAGGGGGGGGGTAGGGGGAGGAGGGAAGGCTTCTTAGAAGCAGCCTCCTTCTAAGAAGCCTTCCCCCCTACCCCTACCCCACTTCTGCGCGCTGCCAAGCACTGTGCTATCGGGAGGGTGTGTCACTCAAGGATGCTCTTGAAGGATGTTCTGATGGCCTAGGTCCGACTGTACCTGGGGGGGGCTATCGGTGCGCAGCCCGAAGCCTCACCAGTCCAGGACCAGTTTTTCATCAGGACACTGGCCCCTAATGCCACGAAGGTTACCTCGGGCACGGGCGTGCAACGGCAAGCGCATCGAGGCCAAAGCGGGATAGGAATGCCGCAAGAGATGAGCGTGTGCGCGTCGCCTTGCCGTCGCGTCCGTTCCTGCGCCTTTTCGTGCCCCTGCCAGCCGTCCCCTGGGCACGCCTGCTGATCCAGGTTTAGACTTTCACAGCCGTTCTTGCCCAAGCCACCTGCGCCTCGGGGGCCTCGGGGGCGCAGGGCAAGGCCGCATGCGGCGGACCTTTGAGGCTGCGGTGGCGGCACTTCTCGTGCTGCGGCGATTGCGAGTTGTTGGAGCGGAGTCGCTCGATATTGTTATCGAGTTGTTTCAAGACCCTTTATGCTATGAGTTCTTCTCGAAGAGCACATACATGGACAGCATATGCTATGCCAATCTGTACACCGATGGCACGTCTATAGCATTTGCAGCGAAAATCATAGATTTCGCTGATGGCGACCAGGGCAGGAATATATTCGCGGTGGGTGAGTATTCGGACGACTGCTATTCCTTGTATTCGGCAAAACGTATTTGGAGAGAAGGCGAGTGCAACCCGTGGATCGGACCCAATATCTGGGCTATGATGTCGACGAAACCCCGGTCCAAGACCTGTCAAGGCGATGGGTGTTCCCGGCTGTCACAAACGATCCAGACATTCTACGAGCAGTCGGGTTGCACTGGGCTCCAATACGCCCAGATCAAGTTCCCCGTCCAGAGCGAGTGCCTGCGGTATTACAACGGAACACAGAAGTTTGCGGTGGACGGGGCGGTAACAACAATCACGCAGACCGACTACCCCTTGAACGACAACTGCTGCGCGGAGGGGTGTGCCACCGAGGCGGCGCTCGGGACGGTGTACTCGCTGGAGAACGAGAGGTGCTACACCTTCTACAAAGACAAGGCCCCCAGGAGCTTCAAGTGGACCATGGACATCTACTCGGAGAACCCCGGCGGCGGCGGCGCCGGGCCACGGGTGCCTCCTCTCGCCGTGCAGGCGGCGCTGGGCCTGGCAGCCTGGGCGGCCACGGCGCCCGCCTGAGGGCCCCTCCGCCGCCCCGCGCCCGGCGGTGCGCGCGCGCGCCGCGAGGCGAGCGTCGCCCCGCAGCCTTGCCGCTGGCGCTCGCCGCCCGCGGCCCGGGCAACGGCGCCTGCGCGCCCCTGGTCGGTGGTGCAAACTCGGGGGTGGACAGAACCCCCAACAGTGCCACGTCGATTAGTGAATTGTCCGTTCTCGGTTTTCGAGAGGGCGCCGTGGCCGTTATTTTCCAGGCCTGCGCCCTCCAGGTTTGGGCCTCAGGTCGTTTTCACTAAACCACGTTTTACTAAAGGGAGGTCTGTCCATCCCCGACAAACATGGGGTCCTGAGGGATGGGGTCCTCAGGACTTAGCACGCTGGGCACCGCTGTGGCAAGACCACGGGGGGCGGCGGATCGAAGACGCCTACGCCGAATCACCGCCGCCCCCTGCCCTTTTGGAAGCGCCTGCGCGCCTCTGGTCGGTGGTGCAAACAGGGAGTCCTGAGGGATGGGGTCCTGAGGACGAGGTGCCTCAGACATCGCAAATCCACCCTTCGATCCCCTCCCATCACTGGGACTCGTGGGCTGTCGGGAGGCCGAAAAGAAGAAGCGAAGGCCAACATCATTCAAAAAGCTAAGGCGAACCCAATCACTTTGGGCCGTCATGCGGTCATCCTGGAGGCCTTTGCACCATCCTGCCTTGATTTTTGGAGCCTCCCTGCCCCCTGCCCTTTTGGAAGCGCCTGTATGGCCGAGGGCCAGTTGTTCCCCGAGTCGGTCTGGAAAGCCTTCGGGGAAAACGTGTGGGAGCAAGTGGAGGAGGATCAGGAAAGGGAGGATGATGAGTAAGACGAGGATGAGGATGAGGATGAGGATGGGATCGTCGACTGTTATCGCCTTACTGGAAACGCCTATGTGGCCGAAAGTATGGTGAGAGCTTGGCCAAGCTATCGGAGGAAACGCATCTGTGACCGAACGTGGTAGCTAGAGCTTGACCTGGAGATTGGACCACTTGTTCCCCGAGCTTGTCAGGAGAGCATTCGAGGAACGCGCGTGGGAGGAGGATGAGGATGGAGGATGAGGATGAGGATGAGGATGGGGATGATGATGATGAGGAGGAGGAGGAGGAGCAGCAGCAGCAGCAGCATGAGGAGGAGGAGGAGGAGGAGGAGGAGGAGGAGGAGGAGGAGGGCTCTTAGGAGCCTGTTGGGGCACTCTTGGGGCTTCCTGGGAGTTTCCCAGGGGCCTCTTGGAGGTCTCTTGGGGGCCTGCTTGGGCCTATTGGGGGCATTGGGGGATTTTTGGGGGGGCCTCTTTGGCCTTCTGAGGGCGTTCCTGACCCGTCTGACGCCGTCGGAACCTGTTTGGGGGGCCTCTCTGAACCGATTTGGGGCCCCCTCGGGGCGCTTCAGGGCCGTTCGGGGGGCAATTTTGGGCGTCTTGGAGGCCTCTTGCGCCGCCTTGGAGCCCTCCTGGGGCCGTCTTGGGAGCATTTGGGGGCGTCATGTGGCCATCTTGGAGGCCTCTTTGGCGATCTTGGGGCGACCTTGGGGGCCAGGCGGTCTCGGGTCGTCGGAAGGTCGAAGAGGCGCAAATGCACAAACCCTTCAAACACTTACAGGGAATCCATGATTTTGAAGGCCAGGCGGCCCTCGGGTCCTCCCAAGAACCCCTTGGAGGCCCCTTGGGCCGTCGTCGACGCTTCTTAGGGGCTTCGTGGGCCGTCTGGGGCCCCGTCTTGTAGGCTTCTTGGGCGGACTTCGAATCATCTTGGGCCTTGTTGGGGCGTCTTGGAGGCCATCTTGGGCTCTCTTGGGTCGTCTTGGAGGGCCTATTGGGCCATCTTGGGCGAACTCAAAGGCCTCTTGGGGTCGTCTTGAAGACTTCTTGGGCCGTCAGGAGGTCATCTTGGAGGCCTCGACGGCCATCTTGGCGAGATATTGGGTGCCTCTTGGGCCGTTCTGAGCCGTCGGAAAGCCGAAAAGAAACACATCCCAAAATCCGTGAAAAACTTGAGGAGAACCAATTAGTTTGGCCTCTTCGAGTCCTCCCAGAAACCTTTTGGAGGCCTCTTGGGCCGTCTTGGACGCTTCTTAGGGGTTTCTTGGGCCGTCTTGGGCCGCCTTGGTTGCTTCTTGGGCGGACTTGTAAGCAACTTGGGCCCTCTTGGGGCGTCTTGGAGGCAATATTGGACTCTATTGGACCGTCTTGGAGGGCCTCTTGGGCTATATTGGGCCCCTCTTGGGGCCCTCTCGGAGCCGTCCTCGGGGCCTCTTAGGCCGTCCTGAGGCCACTAGGAGGCCTCTTGGGCGCTTTGGGGATGATCTTGGTGGCCTCTTGGGCCGTCTTGGGCCGTCGGAAGGCCGAAAAGGAGCAAATACGAAAATCTTCCAAAAGCCTAAACGGTAGGTCCCCACGTGATAATAGATTTAGATTGCCCTTCGCTCTTTCCTCTTGGCCCTCGCCGGAGCCCCCCGTACCGCCCTTTGTTGCGCCTCCTTCTCATCCTCCTTGTCTTCCTCGTCCTCCGTCTCCTCCTCCTCCTGCCCGCCCTTCTTCTTCAATTTCTTCTTTTCCTCTTCGTCCTTTCCCTCCTCCTCCTCCTCCACCTCCTCCTTCGCCCTCCCCCTTTCATCTCTATCCCGCCTGTTCTCTGTTCTCCCCATGCACCTCCCCTTCCTCCGGGCAGGGGGGCGCATGCCGATGTTCCTCGGCGCCCTCGCCGCCGCGCCCGGCAGGGGCGCGTTCTCCGATGGCAAAATCAAGGAGCCGTCGGGGCAACGGCCGTCGGGACAACCCCGCGAGCCGCTGGGCGCGAGAGCAAGCCGCTGGGACAACCCCGCAGGCACCGAGTTAGTCGCGGCCGCGCTCAAGCGGGAGGCAGCACGAAGTTCATCTCTGCCACGAGCTGCTCCGCCTCAGACCTGGAGTCCAGATTCAATCCAGAGGAGCCGAACAAGTGGCGCCAGCTAGAAGGCTCCGATGAACCGCTCGGATTGCCAACATGAAGTGCGGGCCCCACATGGAGGCGGCTCCCGCCTGAGACATCCCCGCAATTCACTCACGGACGAAGCTCCCGCCGGAGATTTTTGTCATTTCCAGTCCAAAGGAGCCGAAAAAGTGACGACGGTTACAGGATCCCGATGACCCGCTCGGACTGCCAACGTGAAGTGCGGACCCCATAGGGAGGGGGCTCCCACCTGAGACTTCCTCGCAATTCACTCACAGACGAAACTCCCGCCTGAGATTTCCTGCGCATCCATTCCAGAGGAGCCGAAAATGTGACAACGGTTACAAGATCCCGATCGCCGATGACCCGCTCGGATTGCCAACATGAAATGTGGACCCCGTACGGAAGGGGTCCCGCCTGAGACTTCCTCGCAAGGCGCTCACAGACGAAGCTCCCGCCTGAGATTTCCTTCGTGTTCAATCCAGCCGAAAAAGTGACGACAGTCACACATTTCGATGACACGGGCGGACTGCCGACATGAAATGCGGACCCCATAGGGAAGCGGTTCCGCCTGAGACTTCCTCGCGGTGCACTCACAGACGAAGCTCCCGCCTGAGACGTCCTCCATATTCAGTCGAGAGGAGCCGAACAAGCGACATCACTTACAGGATCCCGATGGCCCGTTCGAAACCAACGTGACGCGCGGACTCCACAGGGAGGGGACTCCCGCCTGAGATTTCCGCACAATTCACTCACAGACGAAACCCCCGCTTCGAGACTTCCTCCATACTCAGGTCAGAAAAGCCCATCAGTGACGACAGCTACAGGATCTTGATGGTCCGCTCGAATTGCCAACGTGAAGTGCGGACCCCATAGGGGAAGGGTTCCCGCCGGAGACTTCCTCGCACGTCAATCATCGACGAAACTTCCGCCTGAAACTTCTTCCGTACTCAGCCCAGGGACGCCGAAAAACTGGCGATGGCTACAGGGTTCCGATGGCCCGCTCGGATTGCCAACGTCAAGTGCGGACTCCATACGGAAGCGGCCCTTGCCTGAGAACACTTCACTCACAGACGAAATTCTTGCTTGAGATTCCCTTCGTACCCAGGCCATGAAAGCCCAAACGCGGCGACTGCCACAGGGCTTGGATGACCCGCTCGGATTACCAACATGAGGTGCGGGCCCCATAGGGATGGGGCTTCCGCTCGAGATTTCCTCGCAATTCACTACAAGGCCACGATGCGATGATGCGCGGGTGATATGACGATGATGCCCGGCGTGGTGATAGTGATGACGATGGCCACGATGGGCATGGTGATATGGTCGATGGCCACGATGGGGTGGTGATAGTGATGACGATGATGCGCGGGTGATTATGACGATGATGATGATGCCCGATGATCACGATGCGATCATGACATGATGATGAGTGAGTGATGGGGGAACGTGAATGAGAGAGAGTGACTAGATGATTATGAGAGAAGGTGTAGTGGGGTGACAGGTGATTGTGATAATTGTGATGATTGTGATCGGGGTGATGACGATGATGATGGTGATGATGATGATGATGATGCTGACGACGATGATGATGATGATGATGATGATGATGATGATGATGCTGATGATGATGATGATGGTGATGATGGTGAGTGTGAGTGAGGAGGAGAGAGGGGGAGGAAAAGGAATGCGCGGGTTGTCCAAGAAAACCGAAACATATAATGTGAGGATATCGTTGACTTTTCGCCTCTTCGGGCCCTCGTGGAGGACCTTTCGGAAGCTTCTGGAGCCGTGTCGGAGGCCTCTTGGGCACCTCTTCGGCCGTCTTGGGCCGTCTTGGATGCTGCTTGAAGGCTTCTTTGGCGGACTTGGAGGCATCTTGGACCCTCTTCGGCCGTCTCGGAAGCCATCGTGGACCATTGGGGGGCGACCTTCGAGGCCATCTCGGGCAGTCTGAGCCGTCTTGGAGGCCATCTTGGGCCATCCTGGAACGAGAAAGGCATTGAAAAGTACATTTTCGGCGCCCTTCCAGGTGACCGGCGGGACAGGCCGAAGCCCTACGGGAGAGCTCTTTTA